CGCTTGTGGTTGGGCTGGCTGAGGTGGGGGATCGCGGCCTGAGGGCCCTGTCAGCGACAACGGCCAACCCTCTTATGAAAGTAAGAGATAAAATCTGAATTTCAGATAACACAGACCTTTTAGGGTGTGTGCGCTCGCCAGAGAGACACAGAGAGACAGAGAGACATCCCCCAGGGGGGATGGCCACGCCACCATCCCTTCTCCTCCATTCTCCTCTCGGGATCTGGGGCATGCGTGCACACACACCCGGCATGAGGTTTTTTTTTTTTTTTTTAGAATTATTTATTTTTTTAAATTTTCTATAGGGCATGTGGGCTCACCAGAGAGAGAGAGAGAGAAAGTAAAAAGGTAAGCCACCAAGTCCAGGACTTGAACCATGCTCAGCCATGTGTCCAGCACCTTAACCACCACACCACTTCTTGGCTCCAGACTCATGCTAATTTCAGGTACCACCATTACTATGAATTCTGAGGGAAAAAAATGCATGTGCCAACAATGACAGTGTATTATGTCCAGCGACGTAGCCATTACACCGTCTGTCGGTCCCTATTTACTGTTAAAGCATACGGATGTCCTGGGTAGCTGGTGCGTCCTGCTTACACTGAAGGGAGTGCTGCTTCCCTGAGATTCAAACCGGCCTGAGTTTTATTTGCTAATCTGGCATCTCGTGAGAATAACGCAGATACTGCAGCAAGTCAGAAAGACCAGAGAGAAAGCCTTAGCCCTAGAGGCCAGAGCGTGGCTCGAGGACAGCTGGCCGGGTGAGGGCACCCCCAGGAGAGGCCCCCTGCGTTGAGAATGCAGCGGCGGTGTCGCGTGAGACGTGGAGAAGCTATCAACGAGTGCGGGAGGGTGAGCAGCAGAGTCAGCGCTCTGCAGCCGGGGGGACACGCGAGTGCCGCGAGTGGTCTCTGCACAGTCACCACAGTGCGGCCCAGATCGCTCACTCGACCGAGCCGCGTTCGGCAGTGGGAGACTGGTCATCGACACGCCCCGAGATAGCGTGACTTAGAACGCCACAGGCCTCTTCCCACCCCTTCAAAAATGAGGGGCTCCCCTACAGCAAAAAAAAGGAAAAAGGAAAAAGAGGGGCTGGGCCAGCAGGGGGCGTGGTGGTTAGGATGCTGGATTCCTACGTGGCCAACTGTGGTTCTGGTCCTGGACCTGGCTGTTTGAAAATCACAATAGATAGATAAATAAATAAATACACATCATTAAAAAATGAGGCTGTTCTCCTTCCAGATGAGCGGGGGGGCCAGGTCGGGTTTGGGGAAATGTCCTCCAGGCCGCTGGGGCCTTTCTCGGCCCCTCGGCCCTCGGCCCCAGCCAGTGACTTCCACCGTCTGTCATGCTTCTCGCGGTCCTTTCGACACCTGAGACGGGGTGAATTCCCAGTGACTCGATTACATTCTATTAACCTTTGCTACCGTTCTGATCTGGGATAATGCATGTCTGCATGCAGAAGGGAGCGGGAGAAAGCGGGGAGGGAGGTTTCACGGTCACCCGTGGTACCCCTGCCCGAGAACTGCACTGAGCCCTAAACATGTGCAGTCACTACATGCTACATGCTAATTACAAAGGAGAATAAGTTACGTGCACGTGTGTCTCGAGAAAACCAAAATAGCGGCGGCAGCAGGTACAAACGCCCTTCAGCGAGCCCAGACTCGGCGCGTCCCAGGGGCTCGCAGCTCGACTCTCCTTTCCGCAGGGCTGTGTCTGGAGTGGGCGGTCCTGGTGCAGAATGGTGAGTCCTCGGCCACCCCCCACCTGCTGGCTGCCTGACTCCCCGAGCCCCGAACACACACCCGTTCCCGCTGCGGCTCTTGGGGAGGGGCGCCAGCCCGCAGGCCCCGCTAGTCCCGCGGCTGACCTGGGCCTGCCCTCTCCCAGGCCCACTCCCCAAGCCCTCCCTGCAGGCTCTGCCCAGCTTCCTGGTGCCCCTGTGGGAGCCGGTGACCGTCCGGTGCCAGGGGCCCCCAGGCGTGGACTCGTACCGCCTGGAGAGACTGCGGCCCACGGAGTACAAGGACCAGGCCACCCTCGTCATCCCGGCCATGAAGGCGGAGTTTGCAGGACGCTACCGCTGCTTCTACCAGATGGGCGCCGGCTGGTCCCCCGCCAGCGAGCAGCTGGAGCTCGTGGCTACGGGGAAGCCGGGGCC